AATATATGATTGAAAATATAAAAATTAATTTAGAATTAATTTAGAATTAAATGATAAAATTAGTTAAAAATTTAATATTAAAGAATAAAAAAAAAAGATAAAACAAAACTAGGAAAAAAAAAAACAAAGGGCAAGAAAGTCATGGACATATTATCAAATTCAGCATAACAATTTAAACTTATAAAATCAACTTGACTCTTTATTGGACTAGAAATTTAAATTGAATCACGTGAGAGCTTAACAAAATATTATGTTTATTTTTTAATTTTTTTATATTTTAGTTGTAGTTTTGCATGGTTTACGATTTAATCACTCAATTTTATTATTATTTTTAATCTTTTTAAATTATTCATGGTTTTACTCGTTGAAACTTGTATTGGTATGTTCTTTGTTTTAGCTTTCTTGATGCTTTGTTAAATATTTCAACGTTAAATTAATGTCTATTTTTACAAAATAGGGTTATTTTAGCTTTCTTGATGCTAGGTTAAATATTTCAACGTTAAATTAATGTCTATTTTTACAAAATAGGGTTATAAATTTTTATTAAAAAATAAATTAATAGATGGTTGACCGGAATTTTTATAAAAGGAAAAAACAAAACTCTTTTCATCAAAAAGTAGGTAAAAGCCACATCATATTTTTAAATTTTTTTTTCATGTTATAATTCTTAAAAATGAAGAGATAAAAGAGCACATCATAATAGCCCAGTTTAACTTGCTATATATTATTTATTTTAAATTTTATTATTTTTATAATTTTATTTTTAATTATACTAGTTTATATCTGATCCTGATATTATAAAATACATATGACAAAGTTAACCATCAACACTTTTAATAAGACTAATTATAATTTTTTTAAATGTATGATATTACAAGTCCGAAAAAAAAAAAAAAAACTCTTTAGCTGCTGAATTTCATCCACCAATAACTTTAATTCTAATATTTATAAATTTTACTTTTAAGAGAAAGATTGAATGAAAATGATTTCACATTTAAAGAAGAAAGGGAGTAACTGCTTATAAATGGAATTTTTAATTGTTTAACAGTACCTAACAATTGGTAATATTGTTAAACAATTGGTGTAAACTGTATAACTGGGTTTAATTACATGCATGCTCATTTTATTAGGTGATTAGAAGAGCTAAACCCATTAATTTACTTGATTAATGGAAGCTAGCATTGCTGCTATGTATCAGATCTCCTAGAAATGACCCGATCACATATATGCATGCAATTGCAGCCGCACAATATGCCTGTGTCCTGCACATATAAATATACATGGACACCAAATGTCCTATATAATTTATTAAATGAGATAATGGTGTATAAATTAAATTACTAAATTTACTTGGGAAATCTATATAATTCTGGACCACTGATTTGTTGAGCATCCCATGTATATATATATATATTGAATGCAGATCACACGCATGCTATATACTAATGGAGTTTCCCGTTAGGCCAATGGTTTGGTTTCCCCTTTCCTGCGTATTCACTTTTGTGTTACGTCTTTGACTGTATAATATTCTCTTGTTATTAGCCATCCAGTTTTTTCAACGGCCACTATATTACACTCCTTTCTGTTCTTTCCTGATATACAAGACCAAAATCACCTGATCATTTCTCTACAACCCACAAACCTAAAATCTGTTAATTCTCTTCCCTCTCCCCCAATCCTCTCCGACACGCCATGGCTCATCTTCAAGCTTGATTTTTGGACATCTTTAAGGCGTCTTCTCTCTTGATTCTTCTTTATTACCCTACTATAGTCACCTGGAAAAACGGATATTGCAATATCAAGCTTCCCTGACTTAGCACGGGATGCAATTATTAATGTAGACAACCCAAAGTTAGGCTTAAAGTCAGCTATCTTCATCTCATCCCAAAGTCTGCGAGCAGTATCTAATTTCCCAGCCTTGGTGTAGGACTCAATCAAGGAAACACGCATGATAACAAATGGTTTGAGCCCTAAGCCTTGCATTTCCATGCAAACCTTCATCGATGTCTCCAGCCTCCCTGCTTTCCCCATTGAATGAACGAGCGAGTTAAAAACGCTAGGGCTTGGACAATAGTTCATTTCTTTCATCTCTTAGAGAAGCTTAAAAGCAGCATCCAGGTGACCTGATTTTTCCAAGCTTGGTATCATCAGCTCATAAGTTGAGCCATCAAATGATTACTTTGCTGCTTCCATGCTCTCATATATCTCAAATGCCTTGTATATTATATGTCTCTGTATCAATTTTACTGCCGGAATCCTGAGCCTTCTTGAAACAACAATATGACACGTCCAACCTTTCTGCTTTAGCTAAATACATAAGCACCCTGTTAGATGCACTGAATGAAGTTGCAATCTTACTTGAATCACCAACCGTCTCATAGACTGGATCCCATCAAAAACCCAAAAAAAAAAAGAAGTTGAGTCCGGGCCAGGCCTGAGCCTCAGACCCAGCCTGCCCAATTTATTTCGAACAAAGTTATGTTTGACAAAACATACCATATGTTAATCATCTTTATTTTATTCTCTTTTGTTTTTATATCTGGCCAAACAAGTTTTTTATATATATATCATAAAAATTCATGGATTTTTTTGAATTTTTTTTGTAGTTCTTGTGTATTTTTTTTATGATTAACTATATAATTTATTTTTACTATGAAATGTGAATTTTTTTATATAAAAATAATTAATATATATATATATATAAATATATATATATATAAATATGTGTTCTTTATTTTAAATTCAAGTGTATTCATTGACACTAAAATTAGGAATATCATTTCTTTATATTACATAATATTTACCAATAAAAAATATTTGTATTTGAATATTTATTAACACCAGAATCAGAAATATTACAAGCAGACTATTATAATATAATACAACAAACTCTTAATAATTTAAAATAAAATTAACGATACAGCTTATTTTATTTAAAATATTTAATTTTTAATAATATATTTTTTTATATAACCAATCCCATATCATAAAATTTTTATTAATTAATTAGAATTTTTAATAACTATAATAATATTATGTGGTAATTTTTTAAATAAAATATTTATTATCTAGAAACGAAATATTAAAAATATATTCTTTTCACAAATTAAAATGTTAAAAACAAAATCAGTGCAATAAAAGAAAACATGATCATAACACTAAATGACCCAAAAAAACAAAAATGATCATAACAACCTCCTGCTTAACTGCCAACGAATCGACAAACTCTACAAGAACTGGATTCCCACTTTTTCCACTGCCAAGCTTAAACTGCTGATTACAGCCACGTGTAACACTCCTGCTACCTATTTCACGGACACAATCCGTGATCTTAGCAATGTGAAAATATCTTTACTGTTATTTTTTATATCAAAATATATTAAAAAAATATTTTTAAAATTTATCCATCAAAAAATACCAAAAAAATTATTTTTAATAAAAAAATTAATTTTAAAAAAATATAATTTACACCACGATTTGAATCAGCTTCTTAATAATCGTAAATTCAGCAGGCCCATCTTTACTGTTCTCTCTGTTGCAGTAATTTCTCACAAAACTAAGTCTTTACATCAATAAATAATTTAGTAATTTACTTATAAAACTTAAAATAAAATATTAATGATTACACCAATTGGTGTGTGGCACTACTACAAGGTAAGATATCCATGCATATCCACGTTGCAGGTATGATACCAATTCTCTATATATAGAGATGGTCGAATAAGAAGAACAATTAAAAATATAAAATTCAGAAAAAGATTATGATTCATTGCATCGCAATTTTAATATGAAAACCAAATGTAGGTTATATTAATTTAATGTCTTGGTTGTATTTTTTTTTAATGACTAACATCATTATTTAAAAATATTCTCTATAAATATGACTCTTTTGATATGTTGATTTATCAATGTATATCTTTTGATGTTTTCATAATAACAATTATAGTCCCCACAATATATTGTTCTAAAAAACTTAATTCAAAATTTCTATAATTTACTTGTGATTTTATATTATTATAAATTTTATTTATCTCTTAATATTTTTAGATTTTAAACGATGAGAAATTTCTTTTCGGGAAGATGAATAAATGCAACATTGAAATAAAAACTTATCTTTTTAAAAAATGCAACTAAAACATATAATTACAAAAATCTTGAATTACAACATCTTAGCAATCAATTACTCTCCGTCATGGAGTTTATTTTTAAGAGAGGAGCACGCTATATGGTTGTCATTTCATGACGTGACAAAAAGGTAAACTGAGTTTGAAAATTTTATTTTAATTTCAAGTTTTTAGATCAATTAAAATATAGTTTATGATTGAGAACGAGGTTTTGAAGGTTTATTGTGTAATATTTTTTTTATTTTTTTATTAAAATTTAGGTTTTAATATTAAAAATATTACGATATAGTGTGATTTGAATTGACATATATAATTCGAATATGACATACTTTTGACATGTTTAGTGGAAATTAAGAAAACAACACAAACACAAGCCATGCACGCAATTGTCGGAGATGCACTGTTTTTTTTTTTTTTTTCATGATGAAAAAACCACCATCAGCAATAAATTTGCATGGAATTGGAGGTACTGTTTTATCAATCCTAGAGCCCAATGAGGCGACGAATGATTCGAAATCGTTCAAGGGACAAAAGGGTGCCTCTCCTCCAACATGAGAGAGCTTTGAGTAGAAAGCAAGCAAGACAAAAGGGCAGGCAAAAATCAACACTTTCATTTTTTTTCAATGTCAAGCAAGCATATATGCCATGATACATGGGCACCCCAAAAAAAAATGAAGAGATAGATTATCATTGTGCACATCAGGGAACAACTTCCTATAAAATATGCCTTCTATCACACCTTTTAAACTTCTTTAGCATTTCTTCACATACACCACTCTAAGCAAAGCGGGCTGTATAGCAAAGTGAAGCTGCTAAAGAATCAATCTTTATGGCCAACGCTGCCACCTGTCCTCACGGCCTTAAATTACTTTACTTTGAGCCATTCTAGGACCGTCCAAGGGTGCCGTGACACTCCTCTGTATATATAAGCAAATGGCTGGTGTTATCTCGTATTCTTCGAAGGGCGTGGAGTCTGAGCATAATTAAGAGCTTTCATCTTGGAAGCTTTGGTTTGCTGGAAAGGAATGGAAATAAGCAAAGGTTGCAGGAGATTTTGCATTCTTCTACTCTATTTGACTATTGCAGCTACGTCATTCACTCTTTGCAGTAAGCTCGCTCGCTCACTCAAGCCCTTGCACCCATAAATAGTTACATCACTCCGGCCTGCATTAATTGTTTCAATTTACAGATTAGTACTCCGTTTTGTTTCAAGTTAATAGCTAATTTACCATCTTATATATCATGTAGATTGTGAAAATGGAATTGCTACTGCTGTGGGCTCTGCATGCTATCAAGTTTTGATAACTACCTAATATATAATACATATCCATGATCAAGAAGGATGGAAAGAATAGAACTATATAGCATTAAGAGTGCTGGCATTTATTTCTATCTTTTTCTGCTGAATATCCCAAGTCACTTACCATTTCATACGGTGAATAGATCGCATAGGGTCCATTGCATAGCCGAGATTCAGTAGTCACCATCTCAATGCATATGAGAAGCATGCAATTGGATAAGGATACTGATAGGTGATAGCTCTATTTTTATAACCTTTGAGCAGATGCAAGAAGATCAGTGCGCTTATTTAAAGGTCCAGTGCATACAAGAAGCTCAGTAAACAGACATGCAAAGAAATTAAAAGTGACAGAGCACTTTGACTTGGCTTCATTACACTGCAAAAGGAAACGATGGATTCATCGAAACCAGTCTCCGAGACAGCAGAGGCCAATCTCTCTCTCTGATGTTTCATTTCTAAATAAATTTATAGGGTCATTTTACGATCTGTCAAGGCACGAATTTTGTAAGTAGTGCTCCTTAGGTGGGTCCCCAGGTAGATTAGGCTTGGATTTCTATTTCTATTTCTTTTTAGGTTATCATCCTCGTCATGAAATTCTTCTTTTTGTACAAGGGACCTCCCTGTATTTCTCCCGTGTCAGTTGTATTAACTCGAATAAACATATAAACAGGACGTGCAGTAATTCCAATTGCATGTTTTATTCCTGTGATCGCACATGTATGCAATATTTGTAGAGCCATATTTAAGTTCAAAAAATTAATGTATAGAAAAAATGTTCGGAATTCCTTCCTTGATGATAGACTATGATTATTAAACCGGAACAATCCCGTTGCATCTAATAACCCGCTGATGGATAAGTTTGGGACTGTTGTCTAAAAAGTGTTTTAAAAAAAATATTTAAATTTTATTTTATTTTTATTGGTATTTAAATTAATCTGTTTTTATTTTTTAATATTATTTTAATATGTCAAGATCAAAAATAATTTTTAAAAAATAAAAATATCATTTTAATATATTTTAAAATAAAAAATGCTTTAAAAAAACAATTAATATTGTATTCTTCAATAACCTCTTAATAATTATTTTTAATTGCAGTTGAAGAAACAAACACTTAAACTTAGCCAAATTTTATTTTGTATCCGTTTAAAAGTTTATCAAGATAAACTCAATCAATTTAATTGAATTATATAAAAATTAATTAAAATAATTTTTATTTTTTATTTAAAATATTAAAATTAACCAAGCAAATTCATAATCTAGCCAGAAAATAAAGTTTGTTACCTATTGTTTTGCAAGGGTTTAATTAAAATGAAATAAAAATTGTCCACACGGTGTTCGACCTTATTCCTCTGGCTTGCTATGGGTACGGACAGCAGCAGCCCAAGCTGAAGGTGGAGTTCATGGACTGACTTCACATGAGAAGAAAGTCTTTTGAATGTAAACCTGTCCAGCATTTATTGCTACTGATAACGACCAGTTCTAAATTCCAAAGTGATATTTGAGTGTGAGTAGCGTTCAATTGAACCGCACGCCGCACGAATCTTGGAGGAGCTGTGCCAATTTGACAGGGGCTCTTTTTTGGAAGTCATAAGCGGTTTCTGCTGGGGATAACAGAAGTGCCTCGATGATCTTTGCCCCTTGTTGCCAGGCATGAGAGCAATCACCTGCGTGTATTTTATCAGTTGTCCTGTTTAAGTGTAAGAGAATTTGATGAATTAGTTAACCAATTTTGCACTCTGCTCCTCAAACAAACAATTCTTTGTTTTTTTTTAATGTATGGTGAGTGGATTAATTTGAATGATCAAGGAAAAATTGAAAGGCGTGCTTTAAATCAACTAGGTGTTTTCTAAAGTCAGGAGGCTCCGCATCTTTTTTTTTCTCTAGCAAGAAGAGCTTGGTTCAGCCCCTGATGGTGCGTTCTTGCATGTTTAGCTAGATTCTAGCGGCAGCAGCTCTTTGTTGTCTCCCATCATGGTTCCCAGATACATGCCACGGAGTGATATCAAGGAAGCCTGGCCACAATGACAAGCAGTGCCAGAGAAAAACATGAGCATTCATAAACAACAATGACAGATACCTCGCTGCTGGTTTGAGAAATTCAGAAAAGTAGGCAGGATTCACATGTTTCATAGCATTTGCTTATAATTCATCTAGAGAGATGGGTTCATTTAGTATTGCCTTGGCAACACTTATCATCTCGTTTGAAGTGAATCCATCATCCTTCATGTAGAACGTGTGCAATATCTTTATCAAGTTCCAAAACAAATCCTTGCAGGGTCGAGGAATTATACTATCCTTTTCCTGCAAAACTAATTGAAGCAAGTGTCTTCTCTGGCTGTCGATCAATCCTTTAAAATGTTCAATGGCCTCTTCTTCAGTTAAAGCGCCACCGCTGTGAATCATGTACAATGAGACAGCATTCAATTTCCCTTCTTCAGTTTCTCTCTGCAAAAAGCAAAACATGGTTAACAACCAAACAAGTAATATCAGACATGAGGCCGATAACATCTCATTTTATATCCCTTGAAAAGAATCGTCCACCTTAAAGCTTCTCCAGTCATTGAGCAGACGCCCGCAAGTGCTCATAACCTTAAATAGATTAAGCAATTCAGGATGTCCAGCAACCTCATCTGAAAGCTTAGGCCACACAAAATACAGAGCTGGAAGGACAATAGGCCCTGAAGCAAACGATACATATGCAGTTGTCATGTATTCATCAAGGGTTGGCACTGATTTGTTACTTGACCATTGTGCTTCTGTCAACATGGATTTGAGCAAATCCAACCACTGTAAAGCAAAACTGAAGCGTCAAAAATTGTCTCTTTCCAATTTTGCTAATATGGTGGTAACAATATTATAATAATTAAGTAGGAATTCGTCTTACAATCTTGATAACATGGCTTTTCACATCGCGTCCTTGCCATCCGAAAGATTTGTCTCCTATCTCACTTATAGTGCTGTGAATTGCCGAATATATGATCTCAACTTCCTCAGAACAAAAATCAGCACTGCCATTGACATCCCATCTGCATTCCATTAGAAATAAATC